GACCAGGACTCTTCACCCCCCCCCTCCTCCTTCGCCTCCAGCTCACCTGCCTTCTTTCCTCCCCATCACACATCCGGGATCCTCCGCCTCCGTCTTCCCTTTCACTCACCTCCCTTCCCTCTCCCCTTCCTCATCATTCCTCCCAGGCATCCCTTCCATTCCCTTCGCCATCTCCGGAACGGTCGTGACCCGTGCGTCCGCGATTCGCACCAACGAAGGTGCCTTGAAACTCACCTTGAAGAGCAGTGGCGTCCAGGTCAGTTCAAAATTTCAAATTCAAAAATTCATATGTTGGGAGGGCGTGGAACCGTTCGTGGTGGCTTTCCATCTTGCCCGGATAGTGTGTTTGCCCTTCTCTTCCTTCCCCCCCTTTTTCAGTACATTGTACCCTTTCCTCGGCAAATTCCTCCTGCTTTCTTCTCCTTCTCGTGCCTGACACGGGTGGGGACGATATGTCACGCTCCTCTTCGTTCCCACGTCGCCCCTCCCCAACCCTCCCTCGCTCCCTACCTCCCTCGCCCCTCCTTCAGTCCTCCTCGCTCTTCTCCCTCCTGGGCGCGGGGGGGAACCTCCCCGAGCTCCCGCTCGCCGAAATTGGCGAGCGCCTCGGGCTTTCCCCCCCCACCCTCCTCCTGAACACCTACTACGTGGATGCCAATATGCGGATCAGCAGGAACGAGGATGACCACGTCTTTGTGTGGGCACGGGGGCACTTGTAGCCGGAGGGATGGCGCGCGGGAGGGGCGGTGGAAATAGGGAGAGTGGTGGGGAGAGGGGGTGGGACGCCGGAATGGGAAGGGCATTGTTTTTAACTGCACAGGAATGCGTGGGAAGGAAAACGAGGGGGAAAAAGTGCGTGACAGGAGAGGGGAAGGAGGACCCTCCCTGCGTCCCGGACGAAACGGAAGTTTAAAATTTTGAATGGGGGGCGGTAAGTTTGGAAGGGGGATCGATCCCGGTAGTCAGGCAGGGGGGGAGGAAATAAGAGTCGGAGGACATACTCTGTCTGAGGAAGGACGAAGGGAGTCAAAGGGTCCTGTCTGTAAGCTGGGTGTTCAAAACAACTTCGAGCAGAAGCCTCTGCGACGGCGCTGGCAGACCAGCGTGCTTTCTTCATTCTTTACCACGGTCAGCTCCCACTCATTTCCTCGCTACCCCTGGTCACTTCAATTTATGTGTTGTGACACCCGCACATGCATTCTGGCTTGGTTATACAGTCCATTGCCCCACCCCCGTTCCCACCTTTGGCTTCTTTAGTCCCTTCCCTGAGCGCAC